TACATACTAAGTTTAAAAAACAATAAAAATGTTTTTTGATATGGGTAATATCAATGTTCAACGTGTTTCATAGTCACTGAGKTACTTTGGTCCTTTATTTTCTCTTCCACTGGGCGTAACATGCTTCGAAGAGAGTGTTCCTTACGGTTTGGGCATTAATKGGTTAAGAGTAGCTGCTGCTTGTGAATTCTGAGTTGCCTTTGATGTCTTGCCAGATTCTTTAATGCGATGATGACCATTTAAGATTTCTATGTGAATGGGATGTTGGCTTAGCCTTCCTTAGATGTCTTCGGCACCTTCTGTAAACGTGCCCATCCTCTGTTCTGTTGTATGATCGAACATGAACTTGGTCTCCTTCTTCTCTCTTGATCCATTGCTTTGCCCGTCAGTAGGCTTTGGCTGTAGCACTGTAGCACTTTGTCTTGTGCGCTGTGTGGCATTTTTGGCCTGAGTAGTTGTGCTGCAGTAGGTACAAGTGTCCTTGTCCTCCATTCAAATAGTCTCTGCACTGGAGAACGTCCAACTCCCTCGGTCGGCATATTTCTCCAGTCGAACAATGCACGACCATTATTTGTGCTTAATTATGAAAGCTTGTGATTGTAGTAAACTCATACTCATCAGCGAACTCTTGAAATTCATAGGAGTCAGATAGTGGAGCGTTGTCACTGATGGAACCCTTCTGGTATGCCGTGCGTCCAAGTGTCGTTTCAGTCCAAATGTCGTTTGATAATTGGTTTTGATGACTTCCTTCCAAGCTTGTCAAGTTCAAAGTATCCTGAGTGATAGTCTACYGTACAGAGGTAATCTTTTTGATCTACGTGAATATATCGCAGCCAATCTTCTGTCAGGATCTTTGTGGTATACGTAATGTACGATTAGCGGTATTCAATGTAGTCCTTGAGCTCCTTATTCATTGATGGCCACTACCTCTCTTGCACTTTTAAGACATTCTTGAATGCCTGTGTGTGAGCGGTGAAGCTTCTCTTTGATATTCTGTCTTAGGCATTACACATCTTGTTCCCTTGAAAATGTAAAGTAGGGCCTTACTGTTTCGGGGACAGAAGCTTTGTCATCGGGCTATCCTAGCAGGATTGTTTTCTTTAATAATTGTAATGTCGAATCTTTTTCTGTTTCACTTTTGATCTCTTTCAATTAAGGTTCTGATATGGCAATGTAGTCAACAGCTAGCTCCGATACTCTCTACTTTCTTTTCTCGATAGAGTGTCTGCCAGGTACATTTGATATCCTGATCTAAACTTGATATCAAAATCGTCAAAGTCTTTGAAGTCGCTTGGGTGCTGAAGATAAGGGTTCCTTGGAGATTGACCCTAGGGCTTTGTGGTCTGCGCAAAGTGTGACTTTACGTCCGTATACATACTGGTGATTGTACGTGCTCGAGGCTGAATATTTGAGCCAAGAGTGTCTTTTCTATTTGCGAGTAATTTTGTTCTGCAGGTGTAAGGGCGCGACTTGCGTAAGTTATAGGGTAGTCATTTTGTGTTAAGACAAGTCCTATTCCCTTGTGTGACATGCGTCTTCACTTCCCAAGATCTTTAAGCTAGTAAAAGGATTGGCTTTTAACGATCGCGAAGACTGGTTTACACCAGTCTATTGTTTTAGTTAATCGATCGTGACCATATATGGAAGACCATAGAAATCAGAGTTTCTACCAGATTCTTTGATACGAGCAACTTCGAGGGGTATTTAGTCATACCAAGTAGGTGTTGTACTGCTGCGACATCCTCTGGTCGTTTCATGTTCAATATGCGTTGATTTTGTTTGGGTCGGTTCAATCCTTCCTTAGTCGGACGTCCGATGAATCACATTTGAATTCGAACTAAGGTTTGTTGAGCTTAATGTTTTTCTTGCGACATCTCTTAWGTAGGTTTTTCTTAAATTCTAGTCGTGGTCCCTTGGCCAGTGGTTAGAAGGTAATCTGCAATCTAGCTTGAAAACACCGTTGTGGTCTTCTAGATTCTGGTCCAGCTTCATTTGGAATATTTCTGGGGCAAGTGAAATTCCAAAGGGGAGCTGGCGATAGCGATAACGGCCCCATGGAGTATGGAATGTAGTTAGATAACTGGACTCTACATCTAATTCGATCTGTGGAAAACCTTCTTTGAGGTCTGCTTTACTGTAGACTTAATTGGGATAACTCTRGTAGGCAGATCTTCAATAGTTGGCAAGGGATAGTGACATCGTTTGARAGCGATGTTCAGCGGTTAAGGATCAATTCATAGTCGTATTTCTCCATTCTACTTTCGGACTGTTGTCAAACTAGACACCCAATCGGTAGGCGTGTCTTATGACTTGACGCTTGGTTTGTCGATCTATTTCTTCTTTCAGATCAGCCTTCATTGATGGTGGTACTTTGCGGGGTGGTGCTACCGTTGGTTATATGCTGGGATCAACATAAAGGTTGGATTTTCGTTTCTGAACACATCAGAATATTCGTTTAGAAATTCTTCCTTAAATTGTCCATTGTTTGGCAGTAGTGTATTCCTCGTCGACTTTGAGAATATTTCTTTGTGGCTTTCCATCAATTTCATCTTAAGTGCTGCCTGTAAACCGATTAGTGGTGTGTTATCTCTTTTAACGATTTCAAAGTCAAGGTTATAGCGCCCTGGGGGCTGGGGGAACTCCGCGGTAAAAGTACCGTGGATGCTCGTCGGAAATTTTCAAAAAGACCCCTAAAAGATACCGGTCTTGAAAAAGGGCGTGGCTGACTGATCTTTAACCCCTAAGAGATTGCACAACAAATATTGTTAAGTTAAATCAGGTGCAATGATAAAAACGCAGAGGAAAATCAATATCGATGCGCTCTTTCTCTTCTTTATTGTCACCCTAAAAGATTCCCAACCACGAATTTTACCCCTAATAGATCCAACGAGCATCCCCGTCGGTACTTTTATCCCGGGGGAGTCCCCCCAGGTTATACCTTGACCATTCTTTGGGTTGTTTATCTCAATACTTGAGGTTTCCATAGCAGTCATAGTGGACTGATTTGGAATACATACTGAAGGTCTTGTCTGATTTCATGATGACAGTTCCTTTAGATAGTAGTTTGATTGGAAAAATATTACAAGAAACTCCTGAGTCAACTATCATCTTGTTGACTCTCTGTTGTTCCTTTTACCTTGCTTAATGTGTTTATGTCAGTGTGGGTGACAGCTAATACTTCATCATCACTTGAGTATTCATCAGTCAAGGCATTGACTTGTTTYGGTAGGCCTGTTTCTTCTTGATTTGCAGTGTTAGTCAGTTTGCTTTTAATGATTTTTTTTTCATAGGTAATATTCTTCTTACCGAAGCAATAGACTTCCCACAGATCCAGGATTTTCGTCATACTTTGATTTTCGGCATCTTTGAATGACAAGCCGTTGTGAACTGCGAGCGCTTCTTGACCAATACATGTTATAAATATGGCGACAYCGTATTCATTAGATAGCTCAAGCTCATTAGCGTTCCATATTGGCGTTTGTTTGAACTGCTTCCAGTTTGCAGATAGATTGTTTAAGGCCCTGTTTACATGGAGATACGGTCACCGTACTAGAGGGGTCACCCTACCCGTAGGATGACCCTACTCTATTGATTTCGCGGGTTTTGTTTACATGTAAGGTAGACTCACCCTACAGTCACCMTAGAGTCACCCTCCTAGGAGGGCCGACTTTTGGCCATGTAAACGCTCGAGTAGGGTGGCCCTGGGGGAGGATTATATGTTAAGGCGTTAAATGACGTCAAACTTACATCATTTTGCGCTCAAAATTTAGCGCGCCAAGTCATACCATGCTCAAAATGGCGTCCCATGCGTATTAAGCGTCTACCCGCCATTTTATTGCTTTTGAAGCTTAGCGACCGAGCAATGAAAATAGYACTACCCAAAATATAACTCGCTTGGCGAAGTTTCATGTAAAAGAGGGCTATGATTTGATCTATATGTAGTAGGATGACTCAATCTCCATGTTAACGAGGCCTAAGTTGATCTTTGCACAGGCTGAATGGCGGCGTTTTCCGCTGAGTCGGGTATTTCGACGTACATCTAATTACACAAACGTTGTCCAAGAAAAAATATTAACTTTTACTAGTAGGAATTAATTAAAAAACAAAAGAAAGTATTTGGCTTCAGTGGTCATGTTTTGTCTTTTAGAGTGCTTTTCATAAACCCCATGAAACAAAAACTATTAGTTAAAGTGTAATAGTCAGATGACAACAAAATGAAACAATGGTATTAGGGTGTACTAAAGTGTATTAAACTAAAGTGTATTTCACGGGTTTATGAAAACCACTCTAATGTATTCCTAATTTCCTAAATCCTTAAATCTCAGGACAAAGTTTTCGTAATTAGGTGTATATTCCGACTTGTATTTTGATTTCGCTTTGAAGAATCTTCCTGATGGAAATCTTCAGTTCCTACAATCCTGACACCATGTATCGCTCGGTTTCTAACAGTCTTAATTCGCACAAGTTCACATACATTACACTGAGTTCCAAACTAACACGAAGTGCGAAGAACCCGTGCTACACCACGTGACAATGATAACATAAAACAAYAGAGAAAATKTTGAATAAGAAATTTGGATTAAATAAAAACAACGCATTACGAAATTACCTCGTCAAAATYAGCTCTGAGAGCGCGTTGAATTTCSTCGTACTTGAAACTATATGGATCTAGCTTACAGCACCTAAGTGTAAATACATGTTGTAGCACAAATAAGTCAAAGAGCTAAGAAGAAAGGGAGTATAATAAAATGATAAATGGGACGTACCTGCTTGACTGTGAAGAGATCCGATCAATTATAGTCATGCATAAAGATMTTCGATTTGATGACGTAACAAAGGCTGAAGTAACCAAAATGGTTAATGGATTTTTACCGTGGATAAATAAAGTATATCGATCTATCTATCTCCACAGCAGAAACGCGGCTGGGGCGAAAAATGTTTCGGGCTACCTGTGTCTAAACGCAAGGCTGCTAAGGACATATCTTAGCAACCACCGTCAACATCCAAGATGGCGTCCACATTCAATCAACTTTCTGCACTTTCCGAGCTTTTAAAGCCTAAAGACGGAGTCGAAGACAACAGCGACGATGTAAAGATACTTATTTCGATAGTGGAAAATCAATGAAGTCATGAATTGTCATATTCGTTTCAGGATCTCGACAAACTATCAAAGAAACCAAGTTTGAACCCTGGGAACATTGGGCCAGAAAAGCAAACGAAATCTGGTATGTGGCAGAATATAGCATTTAATTATATGTAATTACAACAGATTTTTAGAAGCATTGAAATAATGTTTCATTGTTTATTAATTTCCTACTATTTATGCTTTTCTTGACTAAATCAGTGGACAATTGGAGGTTTACAAATTGTGATTTTTACCTACATGTACAGTACAATTCTTAAATTTTTTAAGCTTGGAGTGAGCTTGGAGTACATGTAGTTGAATGAAGTATGTGCGCGGTTTTTCTGTGTTGTCCTTAGACTTGTTTCGGATGTATTTTTCTTTCTTAAGATGTCATTTTAAGCAATAAGTATTTTTGATGTATGATGTGACTGTATGTTTTAATGGTGTAGATCAGGTGAATAAATCTAAGAATATATGGGACATTGATGAGGTAGCTGATTCAGCTCATGATGCAGATGCCTATGACACAAGGCTTGAACCACAGTAAGTGTTTTTTTTTTTTGCTTGTTAAATGAATTTTGTCATAGTTTCTCATGATAAAAAATACGCAGTCAAGGACTGCATGTGGGTCAGGCCAAAAATATAGGTCAATGAAATGTATTTAAAATGTAGATAAAATTGTACTGATAGAGTTGAAAAAAAGTTTATTGTTAGTAGTAGCTGTAAACTATGAAAAGTTAGGTGGACTACTCTAATAATAAATATTTATGAAGTGAATAGATAGACATTTATTTTGTAATGCTGGAAAATACTATGTGAAATTAATTTAGAGCGGATTTCGTATGAGTGGGACACCGTTACCGCACGGTTACCTCACAGTTACCGGACCTGGCCTGCACAATTTTGGTGAATCAATGGGGCACTAGAATTTGGTTACAGCACGATTACGATCACAGTACAGTACCGTCTGTTTCCCACTCAAATACAAAATCCGCTAAAAAATTAGTCTTTACCACTCACTGGCAAAAGAGGCGAAACATGCAATGAAATCAGTTTAATACCATGCATTTTAATAACATGCACAGTTGTAACACTATCAACTCAACTTTAAACATAGCCATAACTTTACAAGTTGTATTAACAGCATTTTTAATTATCAATAATGTTGAGATCTGTGAGACTGCATTAATTTTTTTCACTATTTGTGGAACTTATAAGTAGGGATCAAAGGAAAAGTGATCAAATAAGTGATTTTCTCACGTTTGAGAATTAATACAAATTTTGGCCWATTTCACAGCTTATGTTGAAACTGATTATGTATAATGTTTGGTATTAAGGGACTGGAATCATGATATCAAAATCAAAATATTATCAAGTAAGAAACTAATTAAACAAAACAATGAATGTGTATAGAAATATAACACGAGAATAAGACCTAAAAATGCATTATAATCATTGCCACATGATTGCTATTTGTCCTATATGTAGAGTGCATTGAAAATATTTGACAGACATAATATTTTAGTAGGTTAATGAAAAAGCTTTGAAATTAATATAAACATTGTGTCAATTTGTCGAGTAAATAGATATAAAACATGATAGTAAAACAGCAAAAAGAATTACATTGCTATGATAATTGGTTTCCCAATCAAGTTTGAGTCTCCCGAAGCAGAATTTGAGTCACATTGCTGTGATATCTGGTCTCCCAATGGAGGTTTTGTGTCCCCATTTCTGGTTTATTCGTTCACCTGCATCCACTGAGAGGGAATGGAAGACAACATACCGTCAGGACTGATCTTGTGTAATAAGCCAAGCGAAGCAATCAGATTTTTCTTGGCAAACAAATCGTTTAAAGTGCCCAAAAATCTGAAATATTCTTTAGAAAACACAAATTTACAAAATGCATAAAAATTTGTGCCTAGCTCTTGCCACGTAAGAGTTTGTATTCATTGTTTAAAAGAAGTTTACAACTAAAATTCGAAAACGAGTCGAGTCAGAAAAGCTACAGTAGACTAATATCCGAATTAGATACTGCTGACACAAGAGATCTCCTTGACGACGGTCACGTGGAATGGTTACGGTTCCATCTTCATCACTCAGACACCATGACATAGCGACAAAGCCTTCCCAGAAGGCCTTCATCACAAAATCTGAATATTCATAAAAAGGAAATTACTGGAGCTATTTAGCAGCATTTGTGTTTGCATGCATAACATGGTTCTTTGATAATTCTATTGTGGCAATTATCCTGTAAGTTCTTGCATCTTTTAAGATGGTTTGGGTGAAATGCAAAAAAATTGCTTTCAACTTTATTTAACCAAATCTATTTCCTTGCAAATATGCAATGACCCTGGTGAAAGGTTTATTATTTTGTATACATAAATAGAAACTAAACTTGAGATGAACCTGAAAGTGAAAGTGCTAGCTCTGAGATGACAGTTGATAATCAGTTTATTTTTTTAGCTTATCACTCGACTAATTAATGGTTCCAACAAATCAAGCATGAGTGTGCGATTAGCCAATCAGAAGAAAGCTCGGGAATCGAACGCTTCCGGCTTTTCCAACRTGTCCCACAAATTGCTTTTGAGTTTTTGTAAACTATACAGTCAAGTTCAACCATTTGTTAATAATTTCCGATTGTATTTCTGTTTCTTTTGTTYGAAACATTTACATGTAAGTCTATCTGAGAAAGTCCTAGAGAAAGGATTGAATTATTTTCAATGTGTTTTACATGTTTAGCACTCCGTGCTTTTGTCCACACATCTTGATCCATTTCAAGCATTTTTGTATAGTTTTTGACTTGGGGAACAGAATGAATCATCCTCCATTTAACCTGGCTGGGTAGCGCTCAGCTGCTTTACAAGTCCCCCAGAACACCTCAAAACCATCTCAACTTCGCCCTCCGATCCGACTTTGTTTACATTTTTTGTGGGACAACATGACTGCCATTATGTGTCCTCTATTCTGATTGGGCGACCCCAAACACAATGATGCATATGATGATTTGTCAGAACAATGAATAGGAATTGTCTAGTGCTAAAATCAGCGGTGTGAATTGAAATAATTATGACAGTTACTATTTCCACCCGAAGAAAATAATAATAATTCTATTTCTTACCCAGAGTCAGTCCTTTAGTACAGTCATGTAGTTTCAATAGGCATAAAAGTACAGACATCTTTGCTTCATGACATTAATGAAAGTATTTAAAAGGTATAGATGATTGATCTAATTTTACATATAAGTATAGTTTAGTATTKATTCACAGTGGTAGCTTATAATAAGTACATTGCAATTTATAAGAAATTGAACACCATTTATGATGTCAATTTTTAAAATCAATTTTCAAAAACTATAAATTCTTTATTGCAAACGCTAAACCTGAAAACTGTTGATATTTGTGTGATTATTGAGTTATTTTATTTGAATTTGAAGCATACATTTTTATATATGTAATATTTGATATTAATTTTGACACCATAGTGCTTGATGATAATTATGGTCTGAAGAAATATGGCCTATGTACAAACCTTGTGCATGTTAACTTTATGATTTATTATAGATTTTTGAAACTAATTTATTAAAGATTCTAGTAAACTAACCTCTTCAGTCATAGAGCTTTTAATGACATTTATATTAATATGTCATGGTTAAGTTAAAAAATATATATTCAAAAATAATTTTTCAACTTGGTAATTTGCAAATTACTGAAAGGCTTAAAGTAACCTTACATGTAAGGTAATTTTTTCTTCATTCATGTTTATTTTTCAGGTATGAAATATTGTTTAAGCAAGCTGTGACATCAGAAGACATGTATTTACAAATGAGTAATAGAAATCCATCCACAGCTTCTTGTGAAGATATTGTTGTAAGTACTAAATAGCAAGACCTGATGAACTTTTGAGATGATACCTGGTGGTGTAATGTAAATATTTCATAACAACACTATTGCATTGTTAGAAAATTAAAAAGTCCCTCATAACATTATAAAGTAAAATGACATTTTGTGTTATTGTTATGATAATTTTGGTCTCTCTCATAGTTGAACATTTCTGTTTTCATCAAATTTCCTAACAGCATTAATTCCGGGGAGAAAATTTGGCGAAACGGAAGTTACAGCTGTGAGACTAATTGCTCAGAATATTGTTCAGTAGGTCTTTTGTTAGAGCCAATCTGAATAGATTCAGTAGGCTCATGGGTTTGACTCCTGTCATTTAATAATAAATTGTGTTTGATAGCTGATATATACGAAATATTTTCAGATAAAAATTCAGCTTCCAAATACTAATTACACAGATGTTGAACTTGATGTTACTGACAAGTTTTTAGATTGCCGCACTCCAAAATTGTAAGTAAGAAAGTAAATGTTTTCCTTGTTGTAGAATGAAATAGATGATACTTCCCTCTGTCAATGTCAATTTTCTAATGTATCATTAATTGTCACAGTGTTGTATTTTTGTAAGTGGTTTTGCATGTTTTTAAGAGGATTTTGTGATGTATTATAACTTAAGTAACAGTCAGTTTCTCATACTTGACATCTTTTATAAATTAAACAACAACAACATTTATTGTCCGCAGCAAACTTGGCTTACATCTTCCTCATTCAGTAGATAGCGCAAATGGTAAGGCACAATGGGACAAAGAGAAACAATTCTTAACAGTGACTCTTAGGTTGATTAGAGAACTAGATTTTCTGTATAGCTGAATATATCGACAATTCCTTATAATTTTTTTTCATGTACAGTACATAGCTTTTTTATAGACTCTGTATTATTCTATCAATAATGATAATTACATTACAATAATCTAAATTTCTAGAATGACTGTACTAGTAATTTGTCTAAGGTTTCTTCTATGTTGTTTGTTTTAGGGTTCATGTTTTTTTTTCACACTCTATATTCATGTTATTCCATTTCTTTTTGTTCTGTTTCATTCAACCACATTACGTGCTTCTTTCACCTTTTTACTCAATTCTATTTTATTCAATTCCATTCTATTCTAATTTATTCCGTTCC